GGGGGGGGGGGGGGGGGGGGGGGGGGGGGGGTTAAGCCCGACGTGGGCAAGTAATTCCGTATCTCGGGGGCCTGATTCCAACCGACAAAAGCGAGCGCTAGCTGGCAGCATAGCAAAAAAGCATGTGACTTGACGGTCAATCTCGGCTCCTCGCCCCAACCCTTGGCAGCTTGGCAGGTTGGGGGCGGGGTGCAACAAACTACCCCTCTGGCCGGCCACCATCAAAAAGTGGACCGCTTTCTTCTACCTCCCTCCCTTCGCTAGTCGTCACCTCCGTCTACAACCGGCGTCCAACCACAAAACAGGTTTCCCCCCGCCCGCCTACCGTTGCCCCTAAGACACACCCACCCACCTCGTTGATGATGTCCCTTTTCTCTTTCGTTCTCAGGCCCTCCTTCCGTATGCGTTTTACGGCGATATAGCGGGGGGCCGCCCCTACGCCGGTAGCACCGGCGTCGCCGCTGGCGATGCGGGTGGCCTGGAAGACCTGCCCGTACGCCCCCTCGCCCAGCTTCTTCACCAAGGCGTACTTCGAAAGGTCCGGCTTGGCGGGCTCCAGGCTGTCCATCAAACGCTTGGTCGCCATCAACTGTTGTCGTTGTTGTTGTTGTTGTTGTTGTTGTTGTTGTTGTTGTTGTTGTTGTTGTTGTTGTTGTTGTTGTTGTTGTTGTTGTTGTTGTTGCTGTTGTTGTTGCCTTCGTCATTGCTGCTGCTCATGCTACCGTAGGCCACTCAAACAGACCCGGGCTGGGTGTAAGATCAGCACCAAACACACCGAACGCTTTACCAGCAAACAAACACAAGCAGAGCAAAACGATGTCCCTTTGCCCTGCCTGGTACATGCACGGAGGGGGTCAACCTCGCACCCCGGACACCCGGAAAAAAAAAAATAACAGAGGGTTGTGCAAGGGGGGGCGGGGGCTTACTTGTGTTTGGCATGCCCTAGCTGTTAGGTCATTGACCACGCGTCACTAGAGCATTATTCCCACCGATCACGGATGGCCGACGATTCCTTCCTACATCACCAAAACCGGCGGTTCAACAAAGGTTTTCCTTATCCTTTGGCAGGGGTGTGTGTGTGTGTCTCACCGTCTTCATCAACGCCCGCAGCTTCCTCTTGGCATCCAAGAGCTTGTACTCCTCCAGGTTGCCACGGAGGTCGCCGCCCCCCAAGCTTTCCCCGGCAGCGTGGAGCCATTCGTGTTTCTTAGCCTCTTGCGCCGTCATCCGCTGCCCCGGGTCCACCTTCAGCAGCTTTGCAACGAAGTCCTGGGACGGGTGTAGGATGGGGCACCCTCGTGAGTGTCCGTGCATGGGGGCTGCGACAACGACACCCCCGCCAGCTCGGGCGGAGCAGCGAAAACTCTCCTCCTGCTTATCCTTCGACTCGAAGCAGCGCCTGCTACTCGCATGGTTTGCCTGCCTTCACTTCACACCTTTCCTTGCCAACCCCCAACGCCGTTGCCCGGCTGCACGTTCTGCACGTTCTCGCGAAGGCCTTCGGGACGAAAGCTGTTCTTCGAAGTTGTGTCCAGACCTACGGCTTGGGCTGCCTGGCAGTCCTAGGCAAAGCCTACTTACCCTAGACGCCATCTCGGCTGCCTACCGCGCACCTTGGCCTTCGGCGAGATGCTTCTCCAGATCTCCGGCTTGAACTCGCAGGACCCCTTCGCTATCCTCAAGTACATCTGCTGCTCATTCTCGTGGAAGAACGGGTTATTCCCGCTGAGGAGGATGTGGGTGATCAAGCCCAGGCTCCACATGTCGACCGGCTAAACATAACCACGGATTCGGCAAGGGGAGGTGGGGGACACCGGTAATTACGGTTCGGGCGTGGGAGTAGCGGTATGAACAGATAGCGGGCTGCCCAGAACTGTTTGGACATCCATCCAAGACAGACCGGTCTCGTGGGACCGGGTTTCCAAAATACAAAGGAGGCAGTTGTGTGCGGGTCTGCGGAATGAGGGGGATGCTGGCCATCATCTCACCACCCCGGGGGCAGGGGGCACAAGAGCAGGCGGTAAAATAGTGTGTGGTTGCATGAGGCGCCACCCCCCCTGGATCGATTTATTAGAGCTCTTGGCTGCAGAGGATCACACAGCTTTTCAACAATGTTCGATTCCGGAATGCACTCGACACGACGTTTTCGAACGCCGCCATCGCAGTCTTGCTTCTACAGCAGTACTGCAGAGGGAGCAATCAAGCTTCGAACCAGTCGGTGTTCTACCTCCGGCAAAACCTCCTGCGGTTAGCTCCCTTCCGCGCGACCCGTCCAGAAACAAATCCGACCCTCTTACCGGGCCGTGTTCCTCTCGCATCAGCATCTCCGGCGCGCTGAACTCACTCTTGACCCAGGTGGATTTGATGGGTCCTTCGCTAACACTGCGCGCCTCACCGAAGTCGGTGATCTTAAGGCTGTCGGCTACCCTGGCGGGGGCGTGGACTGGGGAGGTCGTGACGACGGTGGTGATCGTCGTGGTAGTTGTCGTTGTCACCTTCATGTTGCCCCTGACCTCCTCCTTGGTAGTGCTGGTGACCTGCGGGGGGGAGGTGGTGACTGTTGCGGGGGGGGTGGTGATAGAGGTGGTGGGGGCGCCTTGGTCTCCCTGCGGGCTGGCGAGCAGGATGCTTCCCGGCTTCAGGTCTCGATGAACCTGTAAAAAAAAGGACAAGATGTTTCAGGACGGAAGGCGTAGTCCGCTTGCGGGGGTAGGGTAGGTGACCCAGCCTGTGTCGGGGGGCAGGGGGCTTCTGACCTGACAAGCAACTGCTGTTGGCCCCTTGGCGCAAGACACAGCTTGCGGAAGTACCACCAGCTAAGCTTGGCACCGGCGAGGAAAAACGTGTGGAGATCCGTTCATTCTCCATAATGACCGCAGACGAAGCCGTACCCAAGGGCGGACCTTGGTCAACAGTCAGCCTTTTGTGCTTCCACGGCAGTAGACTAAACAGCAACAACGGCTGCAGCATCCCTTCGCGGCAAAACCATGAACCATCATGCCTAGTTTCGTCCTTATGTACAAGAGTAGTAGGCCAACACCGCAAGGATCGATCCCTCCGATCGGACTCGTACTACGTGTATTCTTAGTTCTCCCGAGGCGAGGCCGAGAGCAGCTGTGCCACGACGTGAGACTCACGATGGACTTCTCGTGGACGTGACTGATGGCATCCACTAGCACCCTGCACACCTCTCTCGCATCCCTCTCGCTGTAGCTCTCCTGATACGTCGTTGGGTATCCGTGGAGGCACGGGATTTTGCAGGAAGGGACGGGTCACATGCTCGGCCACGATGACAGACAAGAGGGGACTCGTGAACGCGCCAACCGCTTGGACAGTACGCTGCTTGCCCTATTTCACAGCTTATCGTTTACTGACATGGCCTCAGATGTCCAACGGATCTAACTTGATACATGGGCCTACAGCACTACATGCATCACGGTAAAACGTCAGCAACAGCAGCAGCAGCAGCAACAACACACACAAGACCTTTCGGACGATCCTGCCCAAGAGCTCGCCTCCGCCCAGGTACTCGAGCACCATGAAGTACGCCCGGGGGGTGGTGTAGAGCTGGAATACCTTGACGATGTTCTTGTGTTCCAGAACCTTGAGAATACGCATCTGTGGTTGACGGTTTCAAGCGACAAAAAACGGTGCATCCTTTGAGGCCGCGAGCTGATCGACGTCCGGAAGCCAACAAAGGCTGACACGAATGGGTGACTGCAAAAGCTTGCGCAAGTATTTAGGTCTACCTGATCGGCGTTCCGCGTACGATATAATCTGCTGATTTTGTCATTTGGGCAGGTGCAGCAAAAGGCAAAACGCGCTTCCATGCAGTGGGCCAACACACAAACGTCTTCCCCGGCTAAGGAGTCGATGCTTGCCAAGAGAGCATGGCAGCCGCCTCACCGAAGATGGAAAGCTCAGCCGGCGGGGACGATCGACATGAAAGAAGTTGTGCCTTGTCTCTACGGCACCAAAAACGGAGGGCCAATGCAAAGAGCAGCGGAAAATTTCTTCGCTTAAAAACTACCGCAGACTTCGATGACAATATCGAAAATTCCACAACGCAGCAAAAAACAGTAGCAGCCACATCGAAAGTAGGCATGAGAAGAACCACAGCAGCAAGAGATAGCAACAACAGGCAATGACGAGATAGGGCAACAACAGCAAGAGCAACAAACATACCAAGGACAGCAAGTAGCAAAAGCGACGCTATGTAAACGAAAAAACATATTGTCCGAACTCGAGACTTTTCACTCACCTCTCGATGCATGTCCTCCTTTTGGGGCCTTTTAAGCTGCCACCCCCCGACTTTCTTAATCGCGTAGCGGCAGCCGTTCTTGCTCTCGCACTTCTTCTTGCCCTCGTACACGTTGCCGGTCGTCCCTTGCGCGATTTTCTTGCTCCCCAAGATGAAGTTTCGATAGAAGTCTGGCGGTTGTTGGACGGCGGCGACATGCGCGCAGAGAGAGAGAGAGAGA